AATTAGTGCATCTTAAAGAAAAATATGCGCACTTTACTGTTATCGCTCTAATTTGTTAGCGCATATATTCAAAATCTGTCAAAGAGAAAAGGACGAAGATAATATCAAAATATCGCGTGCAAAAAATTAGTACCAATTGACAGAAATGCAATTTTCGGAAATCTTCAATAGCAATAGTTTCAAAAAATTTTTGGTGCCGATATAAAACAGTTTATTCCCAAATTCGACGTGGTATATTAAATTTGCTGCTTCATTTCATTCTATATTCCTGATGACATTTCTAACGTAAAATAAATTATAACCCTTAAATGATAATTACAATCTGGCTTTGAAATTATATTTAATTCTTATTGGTAACAAAAATCAGAATACATATATGTTTTTCTTAAAATTGTTTTGTATGGGAAAATTTTCCAGCTATATATGATATATTATGATATATGATATTAACTTGATTTTGGTTGGATAATAATGATTAAGGAGGTCACTTACATAAGCAATGAGTTGAAAAGAGGTAATAATGTTTTTTACGTTTTTTAAGCTGTTTTCATCATTAACCAAAACTGCTACGTTTCTGAAAGAAGTATGTCTAAAAATATTATGTGCAACATTCTAAAATGTGCTTTAAATGTAATGCTGTATATGTTATAGAAGAATATTGAAATTTACGATTTATACTGGCTGTTTAAATCATTCTAATTTTCTCTTAGAAATTTTTCTCATAAATTTGGAACTCATCGTAAGTAATTGTTTTGTCCAACTTTAACCGGTTAGCATGATTTTGCGGATTTTCCAGTTGTGTGACCTTATGATAATCATACTGAATATTTTTAGGTCGTCGAGTTGATCTAACTCTTTTTGAGACTCCGGAAATTAGAAGATTTCGAGCACAGTTTGCTGCATCAGCTGCAGCAAACAATTCGAATCCTACCGTTCCAGTGAGATCAGCAGAAATTGCTTCTCAGATTTCAAGTTTAGTTGGCGTAAAATCTTTGGAAAATGACATTAAGAAAGAATTGGACAAGATGCCACCCAAAAAGAAGCAAAAACAATTGGGAGAAAAAATAACTGAATCTAAGGATGAGTTGGGAGGAGAAGCGAAATCAGTGAAAATTGATGGCAGTATCGAGATGTTAACTACAAATCGCCCAAAGCGTCACATCAAAGCACCGCAAAGGTAACCAGATCGTTTTAAAATTTCACTAAATGTATTTATATTACTATATGCAGACCAAAGCAGTGAAAGATTGTCATCTTTTTGCTCCTGCGTGATATCTTGCTTATTACTACTTTTTAAATAATATGATTATGCATTTTCAAAGTTCTTCATTAATATTAATAAATCCCTTTCAGGTTCATATTTGACGACGAAGAAAAAGAAGAGGAAAAAAAGAGAAAAACGGTCACACGCGAACGAACAAAAACTACCAAAGGATGCAATCCAAAAATGATAGAGAAATTGAAGGAAAGGGAATCAGGAAAGTCACAGCATATCAGTGACCGCAAAGGGAATAGTGAAGAAAAAGCTGATGGATCATCATCATCAATGTGAGTTGGGAAGTCAAGCATCGTGGAAATGAATATCTGTGCGGCTGCTGTAAAATTTAACCAGTATTTCTTTTGATGAAAGTGGAACGATGCAAAAAGTAATATTAATAGATAGTGTCGTATGAAATGCATTATTCATATATCTAAAATTAAAATAAAAGAAATAATCAACTATTTTAGGGAGTTATCAAACATGGAAACCATTGTAGTAATTCCAGAAGATGATAGTATCGATGCGAATGATTGTAATTGTTGGTTCTCAAACACTCATGACGAAATGTGAGTTAAGCATAATTTTTAAAAGACATATTGTCCTACTTTTGTAGCATGGCCATCCAATAATCAGATGCTTGAAAATAATTGGGCTTACACTTTTGTAAGACATGGCTAATAAGTTAGCATAGAAGACAGTAACAAATAGTAGTTAATTGTTGAATGGCTGAATAAATTATGTATCCAAAATATTTAGATTTTTTAAAAAATTAAAAATTTTTTAAAAACTTTTTTAAACTATTGCAACTTGAAATAAAGAAGTATTATAAACCAAATACTTCAAGTACTGTCGTTTTGAATAAAAATATTATAATTTCAAGTTGCAGGTTTCTGGATCTCAACTTAGTTGACGTAACAGTTGAGCACGAATTGAGATGTGAACGTGGTGGTGTAGTACATGATGTATTTCGATATATTGGTACCTGGAAAAATGGTACTGTTAGAGAAGTAAGCAGACATATATATGAACTTTGGAATAATCGTAAGGTTTGTTTTTAAGCCCATTAATGAATCTAAGAAATACTTTTTATCTTTCAAATTGTATTTACACCTTTTGTTATATTTGTATTAAATTTTATTCCTCCAGATTGCTGAAATAAACGAGCAAACAACTGCTGAAGAAAACATGAACAAGGTAAGCAAAATCCTTGAAAATTCGCGTCCTTTTTTTCCTGTTCCTAGGTTAATGGTTGTTGTAAGATTGCTATCAAATAAAAATTGTTAAGGAAACAAAAAGCACAGTTGAACAGCAGCAATCGGTATCACTGGAAATTGCACAACCGAAACAAATATCGTCTATCAATTTATTGACATACCCAGATAATAATGGTAGTTCGAACGAACGGTTGATAAACCATAATAATGTCTCGGACGTTTATTCGAATAATTCCACAGATCGTTTGTCAACTGGACCATGTAGTTCACAAAACATTGCGTCCGAAGATATTTTCGGAAAACAGAGTGGGAATGGAGATTGTGGTCCCTGGCGACAAGTGAGTAAAAGAATTTTTTGTTTTTCTTTTCACTTAACAATCTAATAGATCTATTTGATGCTTAAATGAACTAATAAATGAATTTATTTGATGCTTAAATGAATTAGTTGTTTTAAATTGTTCATCTCGGGTAAACTTTGTAGTGGTTTCGAATTGAATGATGAAACGATTTGCTTCTTGCGTGAAGCAGTTGATTCTTAATTTCTTCACCTTCTTCACTTTCCACTTTGTTTGTGTATTTGTTCTATGAAATTAAATTAGAGCTAGATCGGTTTTTCCTTCTCGTTAAAAAAATTTAATTTATCTCTATGTTCCTGTCAAATATAATGTGGGAAGTTTCTGCTCACAATTCATTTTCCGAGAAAAAAAAAAATCAGTTTTTTTTTTTACTTTATGCTGTTAAAAAAGGTTTTTTGGAGTCAAAATTTTACATTCTTTCGGAATAGAATGGATAGATTTCAGGTGGCATTTCGAAAAGAGGCATCGTTAAGCGGACCAGCGAAAATGGACAAATTGAAGACGCAGTATGACCATTTGCTTATGATTTCGGAAAAGAACTATATGGGAAAGTTGTGCTCAGACTGGTTATATGTTCCGGAAGGTGGTCCATTCGATGACAGAATAAAACATATAAGGCAGTTTATTAAAGAACTGGAAGATGTACTCAATCAACCAGACTCTACGTGGAGGGACTATTTCAACATGAAAAGTTTGCTCTATTTCTTCAGAACGTTGTTACATTAATTTTCGAACATTTCAAGTTTAATTGATTTAAAGATTTCTTAAAGAATTAATTTCTTTTCAGAGTATTTGCAAACACTAATTGATAATATTATGGTTGATTTCAATGCATTATCTGGACAAGGTTTGTGGCATTTTTACCATTCAAAGTGATTATTAGTAATATCTTCAGCGAAAAATGAATCTAAAGGCATCACCGTGATGGCATTTCATGCGGAAATTTCCTATTAAGATCAGTGAAAATTAGTGAGAATTATTAATCATACTTGCTTCTTCACGGTTTATTTTTTCAGCTGCATTGGCTCATTTCCCGTGTACATCTGATATTGCGTTTTCATCTAGCAGAAGCACTGTGAGTGATACCGGACGCGATAATGCCGATGTTTCTATTAGGCCAAATTCGAATTGAGTAGCGCTGGAATTTGCTCTGTACATGAAAAGATCGGTTGTCAATTTCTTCGCAATTTTCCACTTTTTTAAAGAGAAAAATTAACTTTTTTAAAGAAAAGGACTGCCATTTGTTTCGCTAAATACGGAATCGGAACCATTTCCTTCCTTATTTTCTATGAATTTATGACAGTGGACTTCAGAGATATTAATCATGTCCGTCTCTTGATTACCATAGGATTACATATCTCGTCCATGCGTCAGGTTTTTGCAATCCTTGGATCCAAATAACATTTTCAAGTTCTTTTCCTTCAATGTGGCTTTCGAGTTTAATGCAAAAAAAAAAATACCGTTCATAGGTCAAGCATCGCCCACATTTCGAAAAGAATTTTTCCCAAGTTTTGTTTACATGATATTGCAGGACCTTTATAGCTTTTATCAAACTTTCTTAATCGCTTCCCTATCTGTTTTTATGCTATCTTATGTATTATTAGCCGAGTCAGTTTGAAGAAATTTACTTTTTTGTTCATATTAGTGTTTGTTCTTCATTTATTCTCATATCTGTTTTGTGAAATATATTTTACTTGCTGAGCAGATGAAATTCTTCACCCGTTTTTTCTTGTAAATAATTAAAAAACAATTAGAAAAGAATACTGGACGCTGAATTAGTCCTCAAATTGTATATACATTTAGTATTTTTCTCTTTTTATTTTAAACATTTTAGGCTATGACTCTTACTGCCTACACATTTATTTATTAGCCTGCAATTATGGAACCTTGAGAAAGCCAAATGGATTCTTTGATTTCAGTAATTCTCGAAAAGTTCCACATAACTTATAATAGGTAGAATCATCTCTTTTAAAAGGCTATCTTCAAAAAATTAGTACCGCATTCATACACTTCTTGAAACAATGCGAAGTCTGCTTAGAAAAAGAAATATCACTCTCTCTTCAAATATATCTTACAAAACTTCTGGTATTTCCTCTCCTCATTCAGAGTAGATGGTAATAAACCATTCATTATTCAATTATAAGTAATGTAATAGCTAGTCCTCCAGAACTACGCTACGAACACTTGAGCAATATCGTCATGTTCATATGTTCTTCTCAAGAATGTGTCCGTAACTCGAATACCAGAAATTGACTGAAAAAAAGAAACTGGAAAACAACAAAGAAACATATATGACAAAGAAGGATGTCAGTAATGTTACTATGTGGTTAAAAATTGGATGGAAGAATAGTCACCCACTGCAAAACACATCCACGTTTCAAAACAAGTGTACCACATTTCCACATACTTAATGTTAGCACCTCCTTAATGCTTTCTTGCATTTGTTTACAATTTGAAAATCTAATTCCTTTAATGTACTGATAAGAAGTACTTGTAATCCAGGAGTTAATGGTAATAACTCTATGGAAAAGTCAGTCGTACTGTTTGGTGCCAACTGACCCAATTCAATACCACTAATTGAACAAAAAGCCATATTTGGTTGCAATTTGCCGTCTAAAGTCAGCACCAAATCCAGTGAACGTTCGCTGAAACTGTAATTCATAACTTCAAGTCCTAACATGCAACAAGACCAACATCAAAGATTTAAATCACTAAAGAATTAGCAATATAAAAGAAACTAATTGCAAGGTAAATATCACTGCGCCCAAGTAAATTTGTATTTTAACGAAAGAACCTACCTACAGTTACGAAGCCGACACACCATGCGAAATGATTGCAAGGCTTTCACCGTTGCTGGTATTTTTTCAATTGTCAGTCGCAAATCACCATATCCTGGAGCCTGGAAATTAAGAAAAAGTCTATTTTTTTAAACTTCTGTAAGTTATATATCCTTTAGTGAATTTCTGTAATATATGCAATACTCAAATTTAAAAACAACGAATAAACGCAATAAATATCAAGATGACAGCAGACCATTCGCTGCAGAGCACTCGTTTGTAGGCGGCCTCTCTCTCCCATACCTGTCCTCCAAACCATATCAAGTTTCCCAATTGAAGTCCCTTTCCTTAAACGACAGATGACCTATGTCATTATGATTAGCAAATGTAAATAAAGGACAAGACCGGGTTGTAAAATTTTTATAAACAGAATCTGATAGGTAATTTTCAATAAAGGGGTTCGAAAATCCCATATCTCCATTTTCCAGTTTTGTTTTTTATTAAATCTCTTTGAACTTTATCGCGAATGACTCTTTATCAAATTTATCCTTAATATAAGCATATTTCGGTTTTCCATGTCTTTACTGAAAAAAGTAGAAGTTAATGTGACACACCTAAAATAATTAAGAGAATAATCTGTTGTTTTTGGTTTTAAACAAAAGAGATACTGCCGAATATCACTTGGCTTGAGATAAGATTGGTCCATGGTTCCATTTCTAGAAATAATATCTTCACTAACTAATCAGTTACATGGAGTTGGTAATGCAATCAACTCGTACTGTGGTGAACATATCATGCTTTATACCACATTTTCGTCCTTATAACAGCATATCGAAAGCAACACAAATTTTGATAGGAAACTAACGTCCTCAGTACTGATATAATTCAGTAGAAATATTTTCCATCGCAAAACATACTGCTGTTCGTGAGAAAAAATAATAGAAAGTGGAAGAAATAAAATTAAAACATGAAAAAAAAAAAAAAACTCTGTTTCAGGAGGTGATATTTCAGAACTCAAATAGAAGTCGGATGGTTCCAGGATTACTTTTTCCAGAACCATTGGTAGTTCAGAAGTATTCTGAATTTGTGCTTCCAAGTAAACGTCATTATTCTGCAAACTTCGTTAATTATCATAAAGACGAGTTTAAAACATGACTTTCCTCTTCCTCATTTTTTATAGATGGTTTCTTAGTTGCTTCTATGTTTAGAGTTAAAAAAAAGAAGCTTATTACCTATTCACATAAAAAATTATTTCTAACGACGTATCTTTAATCTCTTTAAAAAAAGAAATAAATTTTCAAACATCTAGTTAGATTACAACGCAAATGAGCTCACCAGATTATCCTGTAACTAAGATCAATGCCGTTGCTTTATACACCATTCTTCCGCATACTCATGCAAAGCAAACTAATTATATTAAACATACAGACGAAGATCAATTAGAAAGGACAATTCTCGAAGTTAAAAGCATATGAATATTTTCTTCGATCTTAATTTCTTGCGTACATATAATGAAGAGTGCAAGGCTAATGAGAAGAATTAGTTTTAGAATTTGAAAAACACATTCTAAATAACAGTGAGAAGGAATGAAAAAGGGTGCTCATAAATCAGTAATTATTATTTCTCACACGCAACTATTGAGTATACGAAAAACGTAATTCGCTGGAGAATACTTCTTTCAAAATTGCATTTGACATAACACATCAAGTATTCTTAATGAAGTATAAACTTAATGAAAAATAATACATAATGTAACATTTACCTCCGCGTTATAAAACTTTGTCCGAACGTCGATTGGTTTCGTAACTGGAAATTTGAAAAATTTTCGAAAATACATCTCATTTTTAGGTGTTTTGTAGCTTACCGCACACACTAATCTACAAAATTAATTAAATGAACCAATTCCTTCTATCTGTAAAAAAAATCATTAACAAAGGAAGAGATCAATAAAGAATGTAAAAGTCATAATGAAATCCAATAAGTGTAGATGGAAAAGGCTCAATTTTATTTCTTAAATATACATCCATATCTCGAACATGCTACTGAACAGAAGATCTGATAATTTAAGTGTAATAAAACGTTAAAAGAATGATGTCTAATTCTAAATCAAATAGAATCGTGCATATCAATAACACAAAAGATATGTAAAGTGATAATTAATCCCCTTCCTTGGTGCTGATAAGGCACTCGACCAGGATGGATTCCAGATAAATATAATGATTCCATGGAACTAGTCGATGAAGTTCGAGGATTTCATTGTCAAATCATTCGGTTTACTTGAGAAATCATAAAAGGATTATACTGTAGAATTTACTCCGCAATACTCTGAACTGCTCATCACCAACAACCACGAAAACTTCAACAAATTTCTAATACCATACAATTTTACAACAAACAAAACATACATGTGCTGCCCAATTTCTTTAATTTCATGAGTAATAACTTCTCCCAAACATTCCCCTGGTTTCAGAACAGCATTTGCTTCTTGTAACTGTGACGACAAAGCGTTACGTTGGCTTGTAGTTTGCAAATCAGTCTGACGAAATAAATTAATAAAATAGTTTCATAGGAAACTGACGTGATAAGCTCAAGATTAAGAAAGCTTCAACAAACTTGCTTTTGGGAATTATATATTCACCTTGATACATATATCCGTAGCGAATTTATCACTTATATTTTGTACGCAAACATAGAAAGTGAAGGTCTCTCCCAAATATATATTCCTGCAAAGTTACATTTCTTAAAATTTTTTATATGCTATAAAAATCCTAGCGAGCGGTTGCCACAAATTCCATAAATTGCAAGTTGATGTCATATGGTATGAAATGTTGTTTGGAAGAAACAAATCCCAAGATAAGGACGTGAGCAAAATGATAAAAAGTGCTGAATATACTATAATATCGACACCAATTTTCTACAGACTTACTCGAACTTTTGCGGCGCCATAAGATATTTTCCAATAGGTATATCAGCAGTTTCCTGTCCAGTTAAACGACAAAGAGCAGAGCCAATGAGCTGGCTGGTGGTATCAACTGGATCAATTGGCATGCAAATATTTTCATAAAATTTGGGACGAGCAAAGCGCATCACTACAAAAAATAATTGTCCAAAATCCAAAGACTCAAATATTTTCGAAAAATTTAAAAATCTTAGAAAATGAATTCTACGCACTTTAAAAACTGAGAATGAAAGACATATTTAACCTTTAAGTGTCAGTATTTGTTCCTTCATTGCCTCGGTCATGACGCAAAAACAGAATTCCTACTATTTCAGTTGGTCACTTCAAATATTACGTTAGAGAGAATACATGCTTCCGAACTCTATAATTTTATATATTTTTACTCAGTGATCACTGACGTATCTACCAGCTACCTCGACTAACCCCTCACTGCTTGTTTATTCCGTCAAAATGTGGAAAACTATTTTCTTTGAAAAACATTTCGATGGAATTGATTTTTTCATTGAGTAAAACGAGAGAACGAGAGAGACTCATCCATCACAAACCAAACTTAAATACTTGACTAAAAAACACGGTTGACATTGTCAGTTTCCACAATACGTAATATACCCCTCCTGGTCACATAAAGTGCCTCCAGATACCACAAACATATTACACCATTATGAATAAAACCATACCCGTAACCAAACAGTTTTCGTTCTTGCTATATCGTTGCATAAAATCTTTCTACTCATATTTCTCAGATGATAGTGCGGTCACCCTCAAATCAATAAATATGCTTTCTGCTGCATTAATTCGCAACATCACCACTTAACAGACAGCAAGTGTCCCTCTCGCCAAAATATTTTAAAATCTTCAGCCTTAATAAACAACCCAAAGAATGATCAGTCACAATACCAATGAAATTATATCATCGTGCAAAATTTTCAACTTTTATTAGTCGTACACCGAACTCATCAATATGAACACTCTAATCATGTAAAACAGGAAAAACAAGAGCGCCATCACCGTATACAACAAGTTGATTGCAAACAGGATTATTTGGTGAGACAGGATTACTCGAATATTTATCTCGTAGAAAAATTAAATTTCATTAAGAGAAAAAATAGTCGAACAAATTAAACTGAAACTGAGAAATTAAACACAACTGTTTATACTTCACAGTAATTAAGTCAACAAAAAATGATCAGCTTTTATTTCATCTTTTTCGAATGAATCCTAGGTAGGCTGACAGCTGGAAAAAGCCAAGTTTTCTTTTTCTTACTAGAAGAAATGTAATTGGTATGTATAAAATAACAAGCATATACTAAATATCATAAAAAAGCATTTAACCAAAAAATTTAAACATTCTTATTCACGAAATACAGCAATAAATCTTTTTTCGCAACAAATTTAGCATCACTAAAAATGTGTCCTGTCCCGTCACAAAACTAATAAAGATTTCTGAATCGCAGTTCCGAATAGCTAGGGAAACAAGAAGGTTTCAAAAAACAAAGATGATCTATGAAAACACCTTCTATCAGAGAATATGCTAAACAGATGTCGCAAAATTTTCAGTAGCATTTTCAAGCAGCCAATTTAGCCTCCATTTCTCCACCTTCGTGATGAAAATTTTGTCCGTGTTCGTGTCCATGCTCATGCTTGCAATCACCAACTTTAGATTCATTTTTTGATGCCTCATCGAAATCACCAACAAGATCTGAACGTACATAAAGCTTTAAAAAATGATTATTTCTTCCCTCCCCTCCAAAAAAAAAAAAAAAAAAAAAAAAATAAATAAGAAAATGATATTACCAAATAATACTAAACAATTATATACATAGAAAATTGGTTTTCAATACATTACTTTTACAAGATTCAACTGAAACTACTCCCTAAATCATCTCTTTAAACTTACACAAAACTATTTCAGTGTTAGTGTTGGATGATAATTCATTCTTTCAAGGATTTTCCTTAAATTCGTAGGAATAAACTTTTTTAAGAGACGCCAACCTGGAACATCGTCGTCACCATTTGATTTGAATTGACTAGTAACATTGTTTGCTAACTTTTTCAAATGAGTTAGTGATTCTGCTCCCAACTGATTGAGAATACCAGGCAACATTTCAGTAATTTCTATAAAAATAATTTTCTTTAAGTGATATGTGAACAACTTTTTAAATTTATTTTTTACAAGTATAAAAATAAGAAGAAACGAACAGTGATGTTGGAATATGCCATGTTAAAGAACTTACGTTTATTTTCTGCACTTCCTGTTACCGAGAATGTGTTTGCTGGAACAGATGCTTGCACTTTTGGATTATTAAAATGTATCACCGCTCCATCGTCCTTTATCATATTCACCTAGAAACTATGGAATAACCTCCTGAAATTAGGGTGATTCTGGAAAGTGAAAAACCATGAAAGAAAACAAATCATGTGCGACCTCTTCAATTCCAGGAATGTTTGTGACTGAAAGTTTCTTGAGATTGCTCTGCAACTTTTTATCATCAGTAGCTGCGGTCTTGTGGACAACCTTCTTCTTCCTGCGTGCAGTGCCCTAACACAAAAAGGTAATTATTTCAGAAATGACACAAAATGTGGTCAAATCCAATGGATCGTAATCTAGTGATAAAACAAACATCAAAATGAATCTTAATCTCAACAAATTCAATCTTACCTTACCACCTGTTCGCACTTGAGCTGCATTCAGCTGTAACTTCCTGATTTTTTCTGTATTCATGTTTTCTTCGCCTTCCTGCCCGCTAGTGTTGCTGAGTATAAGCCAGAAAATAATCTGTGTCTCAGTGTAATCTGAACAGGGAACTAATACGTAATTTGTTTCTCAAAAACGATTCAACAAAATTTACAACCACAGTAAAACAAAAACGTGCCAAAAAATACAGCAATAAGTAATAAATTACAGATGAAAACAGTCTGCTTATGAATGATAATAAAATCAAACAATGACTCTCAAGCATACAAAAGCTCACAAATCATTATATGAGTAATTAGCAATGTAACGACATAACGAATCAATGAGATTCTTAACAATATGCCTCGGCATATCTAACATACGAACAGCAAATGAATCAAACAATTCAGACCACTCATAGGCTGGTCCCTTAATCACGATTATTTCAGAGATACTTGATATATGCTGCTTTAATCAAAGATTAATCAAGTTTATCAAAACATTAGTATACATGTTCTTGAACTTCCTCAGGAAATAACTATTCATGCTTATTGTCCCCAGTACTGATGATAAAATGCTGATGTTTTGATAAAAGAAAGCTGAATGTTAGTGAGATATTTGCTTACAATAATAAATTCTGAAAAGTCGTTCTTAAAGCAAAATATTTGATTCCTTATTTCATGGAATTACAGTGGAATATACCTCCGTCTTCTAATTCAGTGAGCTGCAGTGAAAAGTTTTACCGCTTGTACAAGTAATTAAGCAATACCAGGACCAATCAAGTAAATCCTGCGACGAAACACCACCCCAACTCAAGAAGAAAGAAAACAATAAGCCTCCCTAACCCCTTGGTCTGTAACATAGCAGGACTGTTACCTCTTCGCCACACATTCTCATTCCTGTCCCAATTCCTATTTAGTAAAGCGAACAATTGATGATAAGAGGTAAGTGAGGAGAGCTGTGTCGTGTAGGTTGTTTATTCGTCCTGCTATTTGTGCGAAATTTGAAATCTCAGATGCAAAAACACCGCGGTGAAGAGTCCAGGTGACTTCTATAAACAACTTAACTTTGCTACCGAAACCATGACACAGCGCAACCCCTTCCTTTCGTAACCCATCCCATCATGATTCCAAACTATGCACCAACATGCATTCTCGACAGTCGAACCATATGTATATATGCACATATATACATATACACCACTTTTTAGTAACCCACGTGCAGTTAGCGAGAGGACCATGAAAACCAGGAAACCATAACAGACGTAGATATATTATTATGTAGATGTCCAAGACTTCTTACAACATCGATCAGACAGGAAATCACATCCTAAATCTCTGCGTTATCAATATACGAGCAATACTTCCAGCTACAGACCAGTTTTTTCTGGACTTTGTGGAATCTGCAACAATAATTAAGGCGATTCCCTATTGTTCATGCTCTATAATGTCCATAAAAAAGGCATCGTATTTTATTCTAAATAATCCTGATATGTATGATTATATTCCATCGCTTATAAATATCCATTCTGACAGTAACACAAATAGCTCGTCCTCTTCTAAAGGATTTGATTCAGTCCTGAAACATGAAATCTCCAGACTTTTTTTTTAAAAAGTGACAGGGGTGAAATCTTGAAAGCGTCCATTTGTCAGTAGTTTATATATCACATCCTACTATTCCAGGCATGAAGCTTCCAACTTCAAAACAACAGTTTTCTTGCTTTATTAGGATTGTATAGCCTTTTTTGACGTAGGCTATACAGTATTTACAACTGTTGATAAAACAGAAAAACTACTTGGAAAGTACACTTCAGCACAAAGGGATATAAAACAAAACAAATGAAATTATATAGCTGAATAAAAAAGATACAAATATGTTCCATTAACAGTAAAAAATCACTAATAAAATGTACGGTTTTAGACACATTTTCACTTCGAATCAGGCAAATGGACATAATAATGATAACGGAGAGACTTTACATCGATAATGAATACTCTTAAATGCATAGAATATCGCAGAAGCAATGAATTATTTGAGAAAAGCCAGGGTTTTTTTGATTTTGAGGATAGTGTAAAATAGTATCTACAAATTTCCAGGAAAGGAATACGTATTAAATGTACTGTATGCCTCTACTATTGAAATGAAATGCAGAAAAAGTTTCAATTTTTAGTAAAGTTTCGCTTTTTTCTTAATTTTGGAAGCAAAAATTTTTTCCAAGATCTATTATGACAAAATTGTAGGCGACAAAATTGAGAACAAATCAGTAGTCAAAATTTTCTTGTGTCCTTTGTATGTAAATTTCTTTCTCGGAAGCATTCATCTCAGCTACCAATTTGGGTGTGATTTCGTCTAGATAATACTTTTTTCCGGCGACAAAGATAACTTCGTCATCGTCACTTTCGATATTAACCGGGTCATATACAGCTTCTTGAGTACCTTCTGTAGGAGATATTTCCGGTTTTGCCTAAAACGATGGAAGTACTGGGGTCTCATGCATTAACAGCGACACTAGCAAAATGGAAATCAAATAACTATCAGAGAAAATAAAGCAGGAATAATCTAATCGGTCCCATTGTTGAAGCAATGCTAGAATAACTTTTTTATTAAACAATTAGGACATTCAAAGTCAATTTTTATCTTGCTTTTATATCAGTTCAAAGTCAATTTTTATCTTGCTTTTATATCAGTTCTCTTAATATTTTTGTGCTTATTCTTCAAGTTAATCTGATTTCTTTCGATCCTTCTTTCTATCATTTCCAACTAAAACACGATAATAAGATATCAAAAACCTCTTCGAATTCGGTGACCAGTAAACTATCGATATCATCTTTGCTTTTTTCGGAACTTATGATTCCATTCAGATCCAAAGGACTGTCGGAAGAGATTGTTAAAGAACTCGTTTCTTCATCTTTCTAAAAAAAAAGAAAAAAACACCTGCCATTTATTATGATTACAGAGCATATTTCAAACAATATAAATTAGAAATGAAGAACTCAAAAAAAAAACATACTTGACTACTATGAAGCCAGGGTACAAGATTTTTGGGTTCGACATTCGGAGTTACACCTTCTTCAATTATGCTCACCATAATGCTGTTTTGGTACATCGTGGATCGTGAAGCAGTTGTCTGATCGTCGAATGGTCGTTCACCAACTGGTATTATTCGTTTTCCGTCCGCTGAAAACTCAAAAATTAGAAAAAGAATAGATAAAAAGAAGATGAGACGGATTTGATTTTCTAAATATTCCCCGTTAAGTAAAACTTACATTCCATTAAAATATTATCCACAACTTTAATTGATGGTTCGACCAAATGCCTAGCAAGACGTATACCATACAAGCTTTGCAACATTGAAAAGAATGGCGTCATCTGCTCATTAAAACGCGCTAAAGACGATCTAAATTAAGAAAAAAAAAGAAATGTAAAACTTCAGCAGTCGACCATCGAACAATAGTAAAATATATGACCATTTTTCTGATTCCTTAATAAAAAATAAAAATAAAGACTAAGCTAATAAAATAAAAACTCCCAAAGCAAATAAAAAAGTCTGCCTTGTCTCATAAGTTGGGCCAGCAGTTTCATCTGGCTCGACACTTTGCTGACATCGCCAACAACAAAGTTCCTGTGTCAGTGGATCAAAAATTTTGTCCATTTCCATGGCATCATATTGATACTGACAACCAGTGCATCGATATGAAGCTTTATGAACTTCATCCTTATCTTTTACTTCCAAACGTTGTCTATAGCGTTAATGTTTTTTCATATATCTTTAACTCAAATAAGTTACAGGAAATTTTAACAAATGAATATTTTAAACTACCAATTTGAACCAACAAATTTCAATAAGAACAGTGTAATTCTTTCCCATCAATTATGGTAATCCACTGCAGTGAATAAGAAGCAATTATCAAATAATTCATCATCATAATTGATGTATCTCATGGTAATTCAAACCTCATATGGTCAATTTTATATTTTGCCACATTCAACAATGCTTTGTAGTTAATAAAATAGTAATTGACTTTACGCATCCGACCATCTGTTTCCTCTGATACTAAGCGTTCCTTCAGAATTTTATCAACTTTTAGCTGCATTAGAACCTGAAATCAACTAAGGATGAAATATACTTAAAGCAAAAGAACAGTGATAAGGGCCACCTTCAAAGCCTAGTTTTGTGCGTAGAAACTGCGGACATCCAATAAATAAGGGATGAAAAATTACTGTTCGCAGAAAACGCTGATCAAACTTAATCAACTGTCTGAGATCATCTTCCTTGATGCATTTGTTTCTTTGCACATAATCCAAAACAATGTAATGTTCTCTGCCATAAAATGTCTTTACCATCAACGATGTAAACCTTTAATAAAAACAAGTTGACCACAATCCTTAAATTTAAAAAGTCTATCTTAACTTCTCATTAATAAAAACAAAGGCACGGAATGATAATGTTAATTTATCTAAATATATTACAGAAAATAAAAATAAAAAAAAAAAAAAAAAACCTTGTGAAGATTAAAAACCATGTACAAGGAATATGAGATCCTATCGGAAAACCAAAATCATATATAATTAGAGATTGATAAACTTATTCACTTACATTCAAAAAAGAAATAAATTTTGAAATTGAGGTAAACGTTTCCCAGACCAGAAAGTCTAGATGAGAAAAAAAAAATAAACACTGCTTAAATTGGACACCTAAATAATTCAGTAATATACAAACGATTATATGAGTGACTAATAATAATCAAACCATAAATTCAATATTCAATCGATAACTTAATTATCGTAAGGAAGAACTTTGAGTTTTAATGAAACTAGTAGGCCTCACCAAATCTACTATCAGTGACCTTCCATAAAGCATTGTTTTTAAATGAAATTTTTAAATTAACAGACAAAAAGAAAACACAAAGTAACCAAACCTGATCAGATTTTCTGGAAGCTCTTCTAAGATCATTCCCATCTGCTCTTTTTGTTTCTTCTGGTCATCCTGCTCACTGTCCAATGACATGCTAATCAAATCAAACTTTCACTTTGGTTAATGTTATGATAAATTAACTATTACACTCATATCTGTGCTCTATATTAAACCTCAAAATACATAAAAAATACGAAAAAACCGGAAAAATATCTTCAACATCGTAATGTGATATTGTGAGTGCTCAAATAATCGAACAAACTCGGTATGGAACGTAAAATAGGAACGAGAAAGTAGTAGAACGAGTAAAATATCTAATCCAACATGTTTATTCATCAGTGTATTTAATAATGATAAATTTTAGTGAGTATTCTTGAAATTTAAATCTATTCAAGCAATACAAAGAAAATATTCGCGTTTTGGCATGAGCAATCCATTTTCCACTGAAAAATATCACCAGTCACTTACTGGTAACATGGAAATTTCTTCTACCGAGAAATACATCCCAACCCTTATCTCTCTCTTCCCCCCACTCTCTCTCTCTTTCAGTTCATTTATACAGATTTCATTCTTTACAGCGTCACGGATATAACGCAGGTGATTTCTGAAAAACTTGTATTTCACTTTAGTAGGAAGAAAATCTGGTTCTATGACGTCGAAACGAAATGTTGCAGTTATATTACGCACTGAACTGACGACGATATCTTTTAATAAAATTTTAGAGTTGCTTGTGCAGACGCGAATCTAATACTTTACTGTGACGTTAAGTCACCGTTTTCAGAAATTTTATAAGTTAAGGATTTGAAAACAAATAGTCATAATTGTACACCTTGCCGATATATTAAACTAATTCTTTGACTACAACATTATTCTACATTAAGATAATTGAAATTTGGGAATCAGTATCTCACCATATTTTTGGATGTGGCTAAGATCAAACTGTGATTAAGATTAAAGGGTGAATAAGGAGGAATTGTCTGTTTGCAAATAATTTATTTTGAGTTTATTTTTAACTTCGGAATATCAGAAATGCTTGAACATTTGGCAAAACATTTTTTGAACATTTCGCGATAATGACTTATTGCATAAGTTGCAGTTTCCCAGATTTTCCTGGGTAAATTAATATTATTTGTGCCAGATGGAAAGATCACAGCTGCATAGAAATTTTAACAGTTTTAATTAATATCTCTGTTTCTCTTTCTAACATGTCATTTAGATTGAAAACACCCATTTCGGCGAGAATATGAAAGTGACATCATTTCATTCGTATTCGAACCAAAAAAGTATTACGATTTCTTTCTTTTATTTTATCCAATAATAGTTTCCGCCTAAGGAATATGCTCAGATCAAAAGTATTATCAGAGAATAAAAAAGAAATAAGAAAAAAAGTGCATCAATTCATTGTGTAAAAAAAAAATGCAATAAAATAGCTTCATTTTCTCCTTAAGGAACGGTCCACATTTTTATTAAGTTGCTGAAGCTAAAACTTTTGGAGTCAGCTACAACATCCCACATCAGCTCGATTCTGAAATTAGTTGGAACAACAGTTCTGTAAATGTTTTATTTCTTAACCAGAAATTCTCATTATTTATTCTTCCAATTTCTAGTTTCTCATCTTTCAAGAAACTATGGTTTCTTCTTGTGTTTTTTATCTACATATTTCCATATCTAAAATTCTTAAGTTTTTCGTTTTCATTTTTATTTTTTTTTGAATCTTGGTAAAAAAAAATTTAATTTGAGATAACTTACTCCTTTCATTCTTTGATTCTCACCGGATGCAATAGCAAAAATAAGTCTGGCGAACACTTCGCCGAGAACAGTTGCTGTACAAATCCATACATTGAATGTCATGAAAAGTAACATTAAGACATAACTCAATGTTAGTTGGACTGCATGCAAGATTGAATCAGTGCACATAGCTGTTGTGATGCGTGGAGCAAATCTAGAAGTTATTTTTCCTTTTTTTTTTTGGAATTTAAATTTCAAATGAAAATTTTGGACTAAGAATAATTGCGAGAGGGAGAAGTTTGAAAATTTAGTAAAACATCCTGACTTGATGTTTGCTACAGACGATTGTTCCGTATGTAAATCAACATTATACGGTGGTCGGATACCTCGGAACCATCGAATACTTTCCATTATAAAGCACATCAAGACTGTTAGGATACAAGCTATTATAAGTCCTAAATTTAGAAAGGTTGAGAGAGATATCGGGTGATAATACTTCACAACTAGCAATAGACGCCCACCTTTAAGCACGTTTCGGTAGACTCATCAGTTCGTACAAGCAGTTTAATTTAAAAAATCTTTTCTTTTTTTAGTGCAACTTCGGAAAATTTTATTTTTACCTACTGGTAACCTACTGAAAAGAGTAATACGAATTCAGTTGATTCTTCCACTAATAATACCAGTTTGGATAAAGGTACAAACCAGTCGAGCTATTAATGGTCCAGAAACTGAAAAGTACTGTTTCATTGGAGCCAAAATGGAATGACATAGCATGCATATGTGATGTAGAGCAATGATGGTCTGCGTGATGGGTATGCGCCGAATGGTCCATCACAGATGCGGAAATGTTAATAGCATTACTTACGTTGTGATTCATATGTTGATTATGATGATCCATCCTCGTATCTTAAACTTCCAAAAGTATTAAAAGCACTCAAAAATGAACGCACTATTTAACTACAATGTGACGTTCATTCTCAGTCAATTCAAAACTATATCAAAGTAACTGCTTGCATGGTTACAAATGAGGTTTGATTATTACAAATGATTTTGAAGCTTTATGTAAAGCTTTCGTGGAAAAGATTATAATTTAAGATCAATTAATACTTTAATCAAATAAATATAATTTAAAGCCTCAGTATTTAGAAAATAAAATTAAGCACTTAACTCAAAATTTTTAATAAATTAAATAATTGGTCTAGAATTTCAGCAAAGAAATTAACATAAAATGCAGTTATAAAACTATATTAGCTAAATGTGAAGTAACACCACAAAGCCCAGAAGAAGATAGATCTAATCCTGATTAATAGCTTTTTTTTTTTAAAGTACTAATTAATCTTGTTCACGTGGATACAAAAGAACGAAATCAAAAGCATGATAAACCATGGTAAAGATTGTTAAATCCAATTCTGAGCAGGGAAAACATTATCCAAACCAGACTGAAGAATTGAATATTATACATTTATATAAGTGGACTAGTGGCATTCACAAAAAAAGCAACATTAGCATTAAAAGTATGTCAGTTGTATTAGTATACGGAGCAATAATTGTATATGAAACCAGAAATCAAACACTTTTCTCGTACTTCCATCAAAGTACCACGACGTATCTTCTTCAAAGTAAACAAAGCATATATTATTACAACACTTCTCTCATTCATTATTCCGGAAGTTAGCTTCAGTGGCGAATAATCCTTTCTAAGAGCACAAGGATCAAAGAGTTCTACTATACCTTACTGCATTTGGCTAATTTCTGTAGTAGTAAAGAACGTAATGTGCTTTCCTAATGGGATTCATAATAGCCTCATGATGGAATCATCCATTTTTAGAAGCGCTAAAAATTCTTCGATTAACAGTGGTATTCTATTTCTGTGTAAATAATTACGTATAAGAAAAGCACAGGTACGGAATTATTTCAACATTGAAGAGCCAAACTTAATCAGACTTTACGTAATGAAGTCAACTGAATCAAGTAAATTAAGTATACCGAAATTGAAATGAATTTTATGTATTGATTTAATAAATGATTACTAAATGATATATTCAACATAGTAACAAAAAGACGTCTATTACGTAGGAAGCCTGGATTAATGCCAATCAATTTATCTCTACAAAGTAAGACTGATTTCTAATCCATTCTATATTGTGTCTTAGACTATATCGTGACCAAACATTGCTAAGTATGTTTTGAGCTTCTCAAATAAGTGAGAACGCATCTAAAAATCAAAACAAGGCGATTCAAATCAATGACAGCGTACTTCTAAATGAAAGAAATTTCATTTAGATCTCTTCCAAGATGCTCGTCTATGTCAGCTATGCACAAAAATGTTAACATTCAAGCTAACGATCATAGAGTAAATATACTGTTATATATCAAAACTGAAAACTAATATATTTGAATGAATGTATCTGCATATTTAGTATTCTTATTCTTTTCTTGTTGATGGTGCGACTTCATGGTAGACAAGTTATCAATATCCTGAGGAAAAGTTATGATTGACTAAAACGTAAAACAGCAATCTCATAAAGAATGTGTGCACAAAAAATCCATTTAACGATCGAAATTTTTGAAATACCATGTTTGTATGATATGTAGAGATTTCTCCAATAAGCACTGAATTACATATTACAGTTAAATAGTCAATTGTTGGAAATATATTTCAGAAACATATTCCTATGATACTTACTCCTAATATTTAACGATTTAAAAAAGTTATTAAAACAAACTAAGAATGAAGAATTTCTGAACTTTTTTCTTTTCAATCGTTGTTATATTGTCAATCTCTTGAAGACTTCGATTAGAACTTGTAAAGCTTGCAAGGGGACAATACTCCAAAAGTAAATATGTAACTAGGATATGATAAACAATAATATAGTAAAACCATCCTTTGTTCCACTTCCAGCTTTAAACAAATATTTTTTTGGAATGAAAGTTTTGGAGATGAAAGTCAAAAATGAGTTGAGGAATAGGAAATACCGAGTACAAGAAACAAATTAGTGGAAGTAAAATGTAGTAACCAATGCTAAATCAAAAGGACATTTCGGGGAAGTACAATAACAAATGGATTCGCACAGTTACCAATTTTATGTCGAAATTATCGACGGGTCTACCACTCTCACCGCGGTTGCACAATAAAAAGTCGATAATGCAACCTTTACGAATTGTCATCTTTTCCTAATTGTTCTTTGTTTATCACTGATGAATGAATGCAGTGTTGCTGTTTAAATTATCAAAATATGAAAGGAAAAGACAACGAAACAATGTAAGTGTTGTGAACAAATTATCGCGGTGAAAAATTTGCACGATACTTCGATTTTTCTCTTTTTAAATTTTGTTTGATACAAACAATTTGATTCCTTCGCCTATGTTGCTTCTATGTTGAATTTTCTGTTGGCTTCCATTTGCATTTAAATTACCTACACTTGCTAGAGAAATGCAGAAGCACTCTTTCGTATTACGCTAACATGAAGCAATAAGCACTTAATCAAACAATTAAACTTGTCTCTTATTAAACGAGAAATTTAATCAAGTAGTAAAATACTAACGAAAATATCTGGGAGTAGCTGAAGACAATTATCTCACAGCATTTTATAAAAAAGTGACTGGAAGTTCGGAAACATCTTTGCTATATTTATATAAATGTCAGCTATCCTGTTTTCCAAAAGATTCATTTTGTTAACTATTGTAAGCTTCCTATAAACATCAGCCAATGCTGACAAGAAAAAATATAATGATGGTGACAATTAAATGAATAAAAGCAGTTAGATCGATATTTAATCTCAGAAAATTCCATGATATAATTAAAAACGAGTGAATATTTTGTTAAAAAAACTATTGAGTTGATTGACCAAGAATTTTCAAAATTTTGTAACGAAAAGATTACTGATTAAATGCTAATTATCCTAATCAATAATTCAATAATTACCTTAATAATCCGTTAAAAGATACAGTTATCGGAAAACATTGCAAAGTTAATTTGTCATTTCTGATATAAAATTACTGTGATAACTGCTTTGGACATCGATCCTTTATTCGTTCAAATTGTCATTTCAGTTAATTGAGTTTACTATTGAACAAAATAAATCATTCAATAATATTATAATAATGTTATTATAATATTATTGAATGATTTTCAAACCATTCATTCATTTGCTGGTTTTTTTAATTTTTTCCTTTCTCTCCTTTCTCAGATTTATTATTCCCTTTTCTAGCTAAATATTTCAAATACTATTAATTAATGCCTTACTTTTTCGAACTTCAACCTCTATGCAAAACGAAGCTTCAAATGACTCACTATCCAGGACATTTTGACTATGACAGATTTGAAGGGTTGTAAATCCTACTTCGATGTCAATAAAGCAAAACTCATTTGAAGCACCTTCTAACAATGAAATGATAAATTTTCTCAACTGAAAACTTAGTGATTGAAAAAAACAACTGATTTTAAAAATTGCAATTTCTGAAAAAATGAAATTTTTGGAAGAATCGTGCTAGTTTTAGCCAGTTGAACCAAATTAGTTTTACATTAGTGCGAAGTGTGTTTTGCAAGTTGCAAGTTAGAATTCTTTTACTGATTGATTTCTCGAAAAAGAAAACCTTAGAAATTCTTGCTAACAGTTATCCAGATTTCTGTTTGTCACACTTTCCCACTTCCGCAAGATAGGAAAAGAGATAAAAAAGAAGTTCCAATCGATTAGTTACAATACTTGACAAGCTTAAATTCCCGAGTGGTTCATTTTTTCTTCACATAATAAAGATTTTGGAAATTAATGGGTAATAAAAAATATTCAAGGCATGATAAAAACTTATAAAGATTTTATGGAGTGAACGAGATACAGAAGTTACAAGGGACTTTCTCCCTGCAATACTGGAGATGAGTTCCAGTACACTTTCTTCGATTAATTATGAACATTTCCTTCACAGTCGTGCTGCAAGTTGCATAAGTTATATCACGCATCAACATGTCACACTAATACGTCACTTCAGCGCCACTCCCGACTCTACAGGACTCTGAAACGTCCTTCACAATCCCTCTTCACTTCTCTCATTCGCCGGCCGGCTTTCGCAGATTTTACGGTTGGTCCAGACGCTTTTATTAATTTCCGCGACGACTAGTCGTAATGTTGCTTTCTGCAATCCGTAATGAGTCAGGTGTAGATCATGAAGAATGTATCTTTTTAGAGTTCACTGATTTGTATGTTTTACAAAGATCAATCGATAAAGTTTGAAGGTACTAGAATGAGGAAATGCACAGCCTGTAAATAATCCAAATGCTTAGCACTGGTTATTTTATTCTGCATTTAATTTCACGTTATTTATTACTATAAGGACGTACCTAAAATGATAAGGAGCTATTATAGGATGATCGTAGGATTCTAGCATATTTTTCGTTTTGTGATTTTGATATGTGACATTGCATAATGGAGAAGAGGAGAAGGAAGAAAGAGAGCAAAAAATCGTCTCCATTTATTCCAGTTCTCTCTGATAACATCTTTCATTAATGATACATTTCTGCTCTTCACAAGCATAATGCTTCTTTTTTGCTTCTGTTTCTGTTTCGTTAATTTTTGAAAGAGATTGTCCTTCATTCATTTTGTGCTACCAGCGATGATGTGTTCCCAATTTTTCGCAGTTCACTGAAATAAAAGTGACCCATGTTGAAAGTAATTTTGATACGTGTTGACATGTCACATAGGACCAATGAGTTGATTGCTTGGCATATGATTTTGTTTAATTATCAAATAATAATGTCATGGAATCAAAAGTTGCAAACTTATATAGGATACTATTTTTCTTTCTCTCTGTTCTAAACTAATGCAATGGGTTTCTCCATCATATTAATTAATAGCTTGCATAGATGGGAAGAATTGGCAAGGCTCGTGATGTTAAGAATGATGA